CTGGCGTGCTGCAACTGTATGGACCCCACTTCGTGAAATGTTTGCACAGAGGGCTCTTGTTGATTTGCTGGCCCGCCTTCACTTAGGGCGGGCACAAGGCATGCTGGGGCCTTAACCCAAAACATGTACATCATGGCAAGGCCCCTTCTTGAGGGCTCAATCCTCACACTCTATACACTCCAGGGGTTAGACAGCAAGGTGGAAGGGAGGTTGTCTAGCCATGAAGTGATAGAGATGACGGTGACGTGAGTGGGCCGTTTGGGATGAATAGCAGTGTCAGTGCTGTTGTACTTGTCCAAGTAACTTCGCGGCTTTGTGGACGGACTCAGAGGGCTCTCCAAGTTTTTCAGGCAAATGGCGGATGTGGGCACTGCTTTCTTGTTGGTGGACCCTTCTGTGTTGTGGTACAACTAATTCAGTATGTTCTCTTTTGCCCTCCATCCTATATATCTAGGAAGATTTCCACGCCCGGCTTGTCACGCCCGGCCGGGCACCCGGGCGTGACGCCCGGGCAGGTCCGGCCCCCGGGTCAACCGGGCGTGAGAAAACACAGTAATTTTTTTTTATTTTTTTTTTGGACCTGACGACAGTTCTGTGCCCTGCCTGTGGGGCCCAAATCCGGGGTGTTTCATACTTTTCGATGATTTCGGTTTCTTGGGGGGGGGTTGGGGGTGGGGTGGGGGGGCGGTAACTTTTGTTCTGCAGGGAGGACAGGGTTCATCGTGGGGGACAAACAGCAGGCACTGGTGGACCCAACGACAACGCACACAGCACACAATACACACGGCACACTGCACACAGCACAGTGAGCACACACGACACACTGCACACACAGCACACTTTTGCACAGCACACACATTGCACACACTGCACACACAACACACACAGCACACACACTTTACATAGCACATACAGCATTCTTGGCAGACACAGCAGACAGCACACACAGCACACAACAGCACCCTTGACACATACACGACACACCCCGGACATATGCAGTACTGACTCCTGATTATGTAGAGTCATGCAGACTCTTGCAAGGAAGATGAGCAATAGCGAACTTCAGCAATCAAACAGCATCATACACATTAGACCAGATAGTCGTGACCTCGAACCAAAAGCAGAATTGCATCACGAGTTTCACCAAATAAGAGCACAACAAAAGCTCATAATTGACAATGCTGGAATAGTCTCATCATCATCATCAACGAAGAACCAATGTTGATATCCTATCTGGCGCTCGGTGCCCAGTCTACAGATGGAACATCCTATCGAGCCTACTCTACAATGCCGCTGATGACGTCAACAGCTCCCCGAAGTACGAGCAGATCTCGGCCAATGCCGCACGCTTCAAGCACCAGGTATGTCTCTCGTATCACTCACAACCTCGTTCCCCAACTCACAGATGCCACTTGCGCCCAAGGACCACCATGCGCCCCACCCAGCATACAGCACCGCAGCTCGGCTATGGCTGCCTGCTCCTTCCAGCTCGCCCATGACCGCGTGAGCCTGGCAAGCGATAGCGCAGCAGCGCTTGCGCACGAAGCAGCCAGTGCCCGAATGTCCAATGCGTAGGCAGGCCCTTCCCTATATCGAAGTGGCCTGCGGCTGTGTGCTGTGCTGCGGTACTGGGCCCCGGTCCAGAAGCTCCAGGGAGGCTGAGCCTCAGTCCGAAGTCAACAGGGCCAGGGCCTGTGGTGGTTACCAGCACCCAACTGCCCTCAGCCTTTGTTTGGTCCACTTTGTGTATCCGGCCCAGGGCCTGCCTCAGTTACATGCAATGCAAGGCAGCCTGGGCCTGGGCGCTTCCAACCAACTGGCACTGCGCAACTCCCTGAATTTCCCCAGTTGCATAGTAGTCCAAAATAGGCCTCTTGAGGTCTGTTGAGCCTGACTTCACTTAGGGCGGCCGACGCTTGTTGCAAATAGGGGCCCAGTAGGGCTTATCGAGGCCTTGTGCCTCACATTCCCTCCTCCATACTTCGCTAGTCCTCTGAGAAGTTCAGTCGTCAATAATCTGGCGCTTTCCCTTCTGCAGAGACTTCTCATAGTGAGCGACTACCTGCGGAGTGGTCTGCATCAGTTCCTCTCTTGTGAACCATCTATTCTCGTTTGGATCAGTGTGATGCCTGAACCGAACTCGATACTGCACCTTCGGTTGCGGAGGACGTCCTCTGCCTGTTGGTCTTGGAACTGGCATCTCCCTGTGATCAACAATGTCGTCGATGTCGACCTCTCCATCCATGGTTGGGGGCAGCATTGAACGACGAGATGGAAACCAGGGTAAGTGCGTAAGTGACCAGGGATACGAATAACGTAAGATGGTCCATCTGGTTCATTCCCCACAACGTCTAGAATCTCCCAGGGTCCAAAGTACTGTGGCATGAGTTTACGAGAAATCCCGTACTCCTGTCCCAGTTCTGGGGACTTAACCCAGACTCTTTCTCCTACTTGGAATGTAGATGGGCGGCGGTGTTTGTTCTCAGACTCTATCATCGCCGCCTGTTCCTTGTGCATCTGTTTGACTGCCTGTTGCATCAGTTGCTCATATCGATAATCAAACTCCAAGGTCCCCGGTGTAGCAGCTGACTGATTCTCAGGTAGTAGGAAGTCCAAGGGCAGTCTAGGCTTGAAAGTCAGTAGCAGGCTGTTCCCGCTTACTCCCGTAGCGCTGTGCACAGCGTTGTTGTACAGGATGAGAGCGAGCTTCTCATCCCAGTCTACCTGATTTCGGCTTGATATAATGCCTCAGCGGGTGTTGTACAACGCGGTTCAATTGCTCTGCCTGCCCATTTGCTTCTGGGTGATTGCCTGATGTCATTTGCAACTGCGTGCCCTGTTCTGCAGCTGCAGCTTTCCGCAGTTCACTAGTGAATCGCACATCCCGGTCATTAATGATAGACTTAGGTAGTCCGAAATCTCTGACCCAGTTTTCTTTGAACAACTTAATGGCGTACTCAGTCTTTGCTGTTTCCGGCATTGCAACTAATCTAGCATACTTACTAAACCTATCCACAATGACAAAGATGTGTCTCATTCCACTCTTGCTGGTGATCAGTGTGTCCATAAAATCCATGGATAAGCTCTCACCAGGCCTTCTTGGAATCGGAAGGGGCTTGAGGAGCCCAAGAGGGGCCTGTGTACGGGGCTTGTCTCTTTGACAGACCTGACAAGTCTCCACGTACAGCTTGACATCTCTCATCATCGTGGGCAACCAGAACCGCTGCAGCAGATTGGCTGCAGTCTTCTTGAAACCAAAATGTCCCTTGGCATCATGACACTTGCCTAAAAATAAACTACGCAAAGACTCCCTATGTGGCACACACAAACGATTACTCCTTGCCTTCTCAAGGAACAGCGGTCCGTTGACAAACTCAAACTCCGCAGAAGTCGCTTTGTCCTTCGCCTCGAGTCTGCGTATGATCTCAGACATAAACCGGTCCTCGCGATAGGTGTCCACCATACAGTGAGTAACATCGTCCGCAAGCCCAAACTCAGTGATCAGAGCACCAGAGAAATCTGGTGTACGCGACAGCTCATCAGCAACCTTGTTGTGCTCGCCCTTGATGTACTGGGGCTCGAAGTCATACTGCTCTATGACTTCAATCCAATGCTTCGGAGGCCGGAGAGCACAGGCTGCGTTTTCATCCACTTCAGGGTTTGGTGATCGGTCCTGACGTAGAAAAGCCTCCCAAGGAGATAGTCTCCAATGAGTGAGTGCTTTGTAGATCGCATAGAGTTCCTTCTCGTAGGTGGACTTTGCCAACTTCTGAGAGGGTATCTTTTTGGACATGTACTCTACGGGCCTCAACTCTACCGGCGCATCATCTTGCTGCGCTGCCTCACAGTCTTTGTGATGGCTTCCTGCCGCTCTGCCGTGATGACTGCAATGGTCCTCATCTTCTTAACCAATGCCTCTTCGAAACCCCACAACTGATAGGGAGTAGTGTCGCTCTTGTCCATCCGACGCATCAGATCGTACACAGGTGTCATCACATCCACGGCTGCCTCTACCTCCTCCCACCACTCCTCTGACCGGACTGTCAGATACACCGTTTCAGCTATCTCACGCTTCTTCCTTGCAGCCCATTTGATGTTAAGCCACCCTTCCTTCATCATCGCCTTCAACACCTTGCGGTCGAGCAGCCTCTTGTGGTGGTTCTTGATACACTTCACGATTGCCTTGCCCCTCTTGTGCAGTTCTTGCACCCACGATTCTTCACATATCCCCTTCAGGAGCAGGTTCAGACAATGAGCAGCACACGGCACCCAAGGAATCCGCAAAATATTCACGTCTGTTCTCCTCCTCAAAATTCTAGCTGCATGCTTGTTCACCTCTGCGGTGTTGACTCTGTGCACCCCAATCTCTCTGATCACCCCTTCCCACAACTTCGCCAACGAAACCGCATTCTTCCTCTTCGACATGTCAACTACCTTCAACATCATTGCCCCGCTCTCCCCAGCAACAATAAAGTTCATGACGGGATGGAACTTCCGATCTGTGCACCCGTCTGTGATCAAAGTGCAGCCGTTGATGTCCCCGCAGTCCATCAGCGGCTTCATTGCCTCCCGCGTTTGTTCGTACACAATGTCAAGCACGACTGTGGCCATCTGCATACGGCTCGACATCTTCACACGCTGCCTCTTCTACCCCAACTCCAAGTAAAGGTCATGCAGTTCTCGAGTCTTCTCCCCTGTCACATAGTTGAAGGGAGCACCGTGCTCATACAAATGCATCCCCCATGCAATGTCCACCCGCTGTTGTGAGGAGTTCTCTGTCCACCGCCGAATAGACGCCTCTTTGAACGTGCCAGTCCCTCGACTTGTCACTAAGCCATCACCGGACGGGACTGCGAGCGCTGCACCACCCTCACGCATGGTGCCTTGCCCATTCGTAACCCCATCGGTCCAGTCCCCGCCGTCACAGACTTCCTCCTTGCCTGGTGCTGTTGGAGGCTGCATGAACTCCCCCAATGTGTCTGCCCATGCAGCCCGTGAGGTGTCTGTCACGAGGATTTGTCGTGATGTTGTTTTCAAGGCGGTACAGCTGGACCAATCTATTAGTAAGGGGCCAGTCTATCTTTGCCCCCTTGCTGGCTATGATGTGCAGGATCTCTCCCGTTCGACTAGGACATGGGTCCCTCTTCGCCGTGAAATGTCCGAGAACACGCGTGTAAGACGCGAACCACACCCTGCCACGCATCTTGCATTTGTGCCAGTAGTGAACGTAGCCTTTAAGATCTGCCTCCTGTCCACGCAGCACCCACTTGTATGCGTCTTTCGTTCTCTTTAACTCCATCTGCTTAGACTCAAATGCAGGCTCAAACGGAGGCTTGTCAACGACCTTTCGTTTGCCCTTGCTGGAGCCTTTGGCCTTGCCGCCCTCGCCTCCATCGCTGCCAGGTGCACCCATGCTGCAACAAGGACGACTTGAGGAAGCCATGTCGTACAAAGAGGAGGGAAGAAGAAGAAGAAGAAGAAGAAGAGGAGGAGGAGGAGGAGGAGGGGAGGTGCAGGGTGGCGAGGAGGAAGTGGAAGGGAGATGAAGGAGAGTTCGAGAAACAAAAAAAAAGCCGCTGGCGATGGAGGAGAAGCAAACGACGAGGAGGAGGAGGAGGAGGAGGTGGGGGTGGAGGTGGAGGATGGCGAGAAGGCAGAGGGAGGGGGATGGAGTATGAAACAAAAGTGGAGAAGCTGAAAGAAGAAGAAGAAGAAGAAGAAGAAGAAGAAGAAGGGGGAGGAGGAGGAGGAAGAGGAGGAGGAGGAGGAGGAGGAAGAGGAAAAGGGCTAGGAGGAGGACGACGACGAGGAGGTGGCGGGGGGGGAAGCCCCACGAAGAAGAAGAAGAAGAAGAGGAGGAGGAGGAGACTATGTGTGTGTGTGTGTGTGTGCGTGTGTGTGTGCGTGTGTGTGTGTGTGTGTGCCACCGATGTCTCCTCCTCCTCCTGTTCTTCTTCTTCTTCTTCCCCCCCCCCACCCCCCAAAAAGAAAGATGAAGGAGAAAATAAAAAATGCCGCAGGTGCTGTAGTGCAGGAGGAGGTGGAGGAGGAGGAAGATGGCGAGAAGGAAGACGAAGGAAGATCAACTACTAAACTGTGAAAAAAAAGCGGAGGCAGAGGTGAAAGGAGACGAATATGACGATAAGAAGAAGAAGAAGAAGAAGAAGAGATGGAGGAGGAGGAGGATGGTGAGGAGGAAGTGGAAGGAAGATGAAGGACAAAGAGTGCGGTGGGGGATGGCAGGCAGTGGAGAAGAAATACAGGCGGTGGGCAATGGCGACGTGGAGCGGGCAAGGGCGACGGGCAGCAGGCGACGAGTCGATGAGGGTTCCGTGGACGGCAAGAATCGCCGCGCGATTTCGCGTTCTCATTTGAAGTGAAATGCCCGTGCGAAATCGCTCGATGACCCTTGACAAACGAGAAGGAAAAAGGGCGATTTCAAGCCCTCGATCTTGCAAATCAAGGGTTTGAAATCGCCCTTCTTTTTTTTTCTTCGTGGGGCTGGTAGGGCCTCCGCGCAATTTTTTTTCCCGCGGTTAGCAGGGCCCTCCCACCCCCCGCTGTGCCCCAGGCACCCCCCAACAACTTTTTTCGATTTTCTTTTTAATGCCACGGAGATCGCCTGAAGCCCGCCTGGGACTCATGCCCGGCCAGGCACCCGGGTGCCATTCCGGGCGTGGTCTGGGGACCTGGGTGCCCGGGAAATCAGCCCAGCTATATATACAAATATAATTTGTGCAAACGTGCCGCTTCCATGGCAGAGGGGTGTGTGGGCACTTGGCGCTTAACCACATCTATACCTTTTTTATTTGTTTCATGGATGGTTTGTGATGATTTGTGGATAGAATGAGAGAGAGAGAGTTTGTGGTCTTTTGAAAAACACAAACACTTGCGGCCACACCCACATGCCACACGTTCTCTCCCCAATCCACAAACAAACAGGAAGAGAGAGAAGGGAAAATAGATACAGGGGACAGGAGATGGGTGGATGGACGGACAAGTGACCGGATGGGCAAATGGACGACAGATAGTCAGACGGAGTGATCGACTAGTGAACAGACCAGTCAACGGACAGATAGAACCGCAAGCGGATGGGTAGACGGGCGGGCTGATGGATGGTTGTGTGGACAAGGAGACAGGCAAGTCAACCATGGATTTTCAGACAGGCAAATGGGAGGACAGATGAACGACAGAGGAATGGAGATGGATGTGCGGATGGTCGGACAAGAAGGGAGGGAAGTACGGCCAAGGAGAGTGATTGACCTTCACTGACATTCAAGCTGGGCCGAAAAACGTAATTGCACACAACATTCTTGTTTGTTAGGCCATGGCAGGTCTGATAGACAAAACCAGCCTGGCTGCCTCCAGTGCATAGAATTTCAGATGTGGTATGAAAGCTGACACCCCCAGTCCCTCCAAAACACTATTGTGGTGGCTGTCATCCCCATTCAGCATCAACCAATAGGATATGACATTGTACAAACCGTACTCCATTACACAGCCTACGCGAGCAACCCACATGTGCGTCCCACGTCGTACACTGCACCCCTGCACCACATGTGCTGGCACCTCCCCACTCCAGGAAAAAAGTACAGCAGGACTCACAATTTATCCTATGAGTTGATGACAAAGAAGAAACGATTCAAGTTCCTATTACCCCTTGTCAGGACACCATTTAACATTTCTTTTCTTAAAAAAAAAAAAAAAGGGCAAACGCCTTGAGATATCATCATCGAACTGACCGGCCCTAGGTCTGCTTCTGGTGGAGTTTGAACTCAGGTCTATACTTCGACAGTTCACTCGTGTACCAACTAGCTAGTGCAAGGAAGATGAGCAATAGCGAGCTTCAGCAATCAAACAGCATCATACATATGAGTCCAGATAGTCGTGACCTCGAACCAACAGCAGAATCGCATCACGAGATTCATCAAATAAGAACACACCAAGAGTTCATAATTGACAATGCTGAAATAGTCCCATCATCATCAACGAAGAACCAGAGTTGATATCCTATCTGGCGCTCCGCGCCCAGACTACAGATGGCAGATCCTATCTAGCCTATACTACGATGCCGAAAGATGACATCAACAACTTTCCCGAAGTACGAGCATATGGCGACCAATGTCACACGCTTCCACCACCAGGTATGTCTCTCGCCACACTCACAACCTCGTTCCCCAACACACAGATGCCACTAGCACCCAAGGACCACCCTGCGYYTCAYCCARCTTACAGCAGCGCAGCTCGGCTATGGCTGCGTGCTCCTTCCCTGCTCGCCCGTGAGAGCGTAGGCGCCAGCCAGCAAATAGCGCAGCAGCGCTTGCGCAGCATGCAGCCAGCACCCGAATGAGGAATTCGGAGGCAGGCCCTTTGCTATATCGAAGTGGCCTGCCTGCGTCCAGTCCCAGGAAGCTTCCAGCAGGCCCCGGTAGCCTGAGGCCCAGCACGACGAGTACAGGCCTTGGGCCTGAGGTGGTTGCATGTGCCCAACTGCCTTTGGCCTGTGTTTGGCCCAGTACCCGTATCCAGCCCAGGGCCTGCTTCACATACATTCACA